AATAACTTTACAATCAATCCAAAAGATAATACTATCTACTTACGGATCCCATGAAATAGCCTTCCATTTTTCCATTTTTGGCAACTGGCATTCTTTATGAAAAATTAAAAAATATATATATACAATGAAGAGCACAATTTTTTACAAAATAACTTTAACAAGCAGTAAGTGCAACTGACATTCCATTTTTTCATTTTTCGCAACTGGCATTCTTTGTGAGAAAATCCAAAATAGTAAGTGCATAATATATAAGCAAGGGATAAAATGGGTGCTAAAATATTTCCATGTCCACACATCTAGATGCAATTGGAATAATATCTAAAGTTCTGCGAAAATCCATTTCCAATCAATTCAACATTTCAAAATATGAAAAACTTACATTGATTTTTACCAAATGGGAGCTCGTTGTGGGTTTGCAAAAGAAGAATACAAATTTTGAATATCAAAACCCTCAACGGTTGTCGTCCTCACAAGAAGAAGGAGATTTTATGATTTTTGAGATCAAGGAGAAGATGAGTTTTGGAAATTTAAAGAAGAAGACAGTTTTTGGGAAGAATAATGTTTTCAATTTTCAATTTGGAGAAGAATATGGTCTTTGACGTAATTGAAAGTCCCAATTTCTTCTTCAATTTGGTTTTAGAAGGTAAGGTTACAATAGTCTTTTCATACTTATAAATAATTAAATTGCATTTTATTTTAAAAAAATTTGGTCAAAGGTCTCTTGGACAAAAAGACATTGAGTGGCGGCCTTCAGAACTCATTTACCCTAATTGAAAGTCCCAATTTCTTCTTCAATTTGGTTTTAGAAGGTAAGGTTACAATAGTTTTTTCATACTTATAAATAATTAAATTGCATTTTATTTTAAAAAATTTGGTGAAAGACCTCTTGGACAAAAAGACATTGAGTGGCGGCTTTCAGAACTCATTTCCCCTTTCATTTTTCACCCAATTACATACACAAAAGAAGCCGGGAATGAGCTGGAGCAGAAATAGGGAAAGATCGGCAAAAAGAAGAAAGAAAAAAGAAAAGGAAGAAGAAAGGAAAGGGAAAAATGAGGGAAGAAAAGCTTGTTCCATTGTTCAATTTCTTCATTTTTTTTTTTAAAAAGGTAAAGAAGTAAATGTTTTGTAGTATAATTTATATTAAATTGTCTAAGGTTCTATATGGTTGGTTAAATTTTCAGATTTAAGGAAAGAGTATGATGTCAAGCCGATATTTTTGATTTGTGAAAGATTTTTTATATCAAGGTAAATTATACCAGTGAACCCTAATTTTTTTTTTTTTTAAATTAGATTCTTGAGTAAAGATAATTTTTGAAAATGATAGTTTTCATGAAATACTCACATGAAAGGATGATTTTATGGAACAAGATGTATATTAAATTGGAGGAATTATGGTTACTATTTTTCATTATTTTGGAAAGTATGATTATTTTATGCTTGGGATGAAAGTAATTTTGATAAATTAAAAACTAGTGAAGGAATTAGTGAATAGAATTATCTCCAATTGATTAAAGAAAATTTGCGGAATTCATTCAACTATCGAGAAACGGAGATTCAAGAGAAAATTTGAAAGTTGAGGAATTAAGTGGTGACTTTGCATTAGTTTATTTGTCATATTTTAATTTGAGTTATTATACAATTATTTCAGGTAGTGACGTGGAAGTTTGGAGATGCCCGTCAATTTAGCCAAGATTTTTATCCATAGAGCAATGAGTGGATATAAACTTATTTTCAGAAATTAGTATTTAATAAATTTATATTAAATCAGAAAATTCATTATTTCATGCAGTTGATTTGATAGCATGATTTCCAGAATCAGATAGATTTATAAACAGTTTTTTTAAGCTAAATATAGTTCAGTTCATTTAAATTATTTGATTAGCATGTTATATGAGTATTAAATATTTCAGTATATTTAAAGTTATTTTAAGACCATCAGAAAGTATACAGGTGACTTTACCCTAGTCTGCATTTATGTGAATGTGTTTTCCCAGTGTATGACTCCGTATGGTTATTTTACCCGCTCTGCACTAGTGTGAATGTGTTTCCACAGTGTATGGCCAATTATGGTGATTTTACCTACTTTGCACTATTGTGAATGTGTTTCCATAGTCTATGACCAAATAGCTCTGCGCATGTATGACGAAAATTTCAAAATTACAGAATTTCAGAATTGAATAGCTTTGCCATGTATATCGGTACTAACCGATACGTGAGTAAGGTTATTCATTGGGTACCTTTTGGTGTGATTTTCTAGTATTATACAACTTATCAGATTACATTTTATTCAGTCTGAAGAATAAAGCTTTTCAGCATTATACAGTTATTTAGATTTTAGGAACAAAATTTAGCTTATGCAGTTTAAAGATTAAAGAATTGTATGATTCCAGTATATTTTAGTTTAGATAGTATTATTAGATTTCAAATTACAGTATTTAGCTTATTCAGTTTAAAGAATAAAGATTTTAGTTTATAGTACAGTGAAAGGAAATTCGGAAGTTGACACCAATTTTCAAAAACTTGTTATAAAGGGAAAAATATACTTTTACAAAATATTCACTCACTGAATTACAAGCTCATATTTTGTCACCCTTTTTCTTAGCAGATAGTAGCTGTGTTGAGCTACATTGGAGCTTGTTGATCTATGAGTTGAGCCACACAGTATCATTTCTTGTATGTCTCATCTTATCAGTTAATACATCACATTTTTTGGGATTGAAGCATCTTTTATCAAAAAATGTATTTATATCACGAGCTCACTGCATATTTCTTTATATGTTTTGCAAATGGAGTTGTCTGATTGTAAAGGAATTTAAATTTCTTTCCAATGCACTTATTTTGAATATTTTGTATTTCGAGGGGTTGGTGTACCCTATTTTATATTGTATGCATAGATTTGAGAAAATTAATTTTTACTCAGGTGGTTTAGTCCATATTTCAAAGAAAATTATGTCAAAATTCTTCCAAAAAAATTTTTTTTTTGTCAAACAAGTTAAAGTTGTCTTGGTGGTGGGACCAGCATTTAACTGGTATCTACTATCGACGCACGATACGTATCGAATCCATTAAGGTAATTCGGGACGAATCGTGTCAGAGCATGATGAAGATAGAATGACATTTTAACAGATCACTGATTAATGCAAAACTGTGTTTGTTTTGTATCCCTTTCCTATTAGATTTTTTACCATCTTTTCTTGTATTTTGGAATGCATTTGTGAGTTGTCAAATTTCTTACAAATTTATCTTTCATTAATTTTTTATTTGGTTATATAACAGAAGATAATTTTATTGTGAATTGTCCAAAATTCACTCTTTCTTCTGGTAAATTGAGGCACAAAATTATTAATGCAGCCAAAACTAGAATGGACAAAATTTTAACTCATCTTTTCTTTAAAATTGTTTGGTGCCATCCAACCTTCTTTACCAAACATGTCATTTGTAAAATTATACTCATTGAACATATTCACAGTATTTTGTACGCTGTTTGAACACAATCAACCAAAATCTGCCAAACTCAGATGTGGAACTTTCTTACAACAAAACCATTCTGATAAACATATTGCAGTATTCTACACAAAATTCAAAAGCAGTAAGCCTAGCAATGAGAGCAGAGCCAACAGACTCTTGCATGGACCTCTCGACCGGCTTGCTTTCGAAGGAGGGGAGGAAACAGGACCTGGGGATTCAATTTTCACGTCTTTTTCCTTGGCACATGCGTATTTGCAACGACTTGGACGGACAATCCTGTAAACTCCACTATTGGTGAGGAGATAGAGATTCTTGTTGTTATCTTCGCCAAAAGAGAAAATGTAACTCAACGCGGGAAATGAACTTCCAGGAGAAAAGTTGCATTTTAAAGGAGAATCAGAAGCACAAGTAAAATTTAACTTGTTACTGCTGAAGTTCCCACTGCTAATGGGATTCTCGGTGCCTGCCCATATAGCACCTGCATAAAGATCTGCAAACAAGTACCTGCGAAATCGAGCATTTTTACTTCAATAAGAAATGTGAGCTCAAGCCGACAGGAAATACAGTCTAGTAACTTCTATCTTTAAGAGAATAAATTGCAAAGTATATCTTGTTCCTGATAAATCTGCTTGTTTCTTTTATACATGAGCTTCTTTAGGTCTGCAATAAACGTCCCAACCACCTAAGGCCCATTTGGCAGGACTTCTGCTTTAGCTTTTGCAGGAGAACTTATTAAGAAAGTCACATTAGATCAGATTTCTCTAAAATTCACATTGGATCAGATTCCTCTAAAAGCTCTTCAAACCAGCAAAACATTTCTAAAAATTCATCCAAACAAATCCAAAACCAGATTCTTACTCTCAGAAACAGCTTTTGGCCTTTCAAATCCTTCCCAAGTGGGCCCCAAGTCAAGTAAGTCGTTCTCTCTAGCATATGTCCTCAACGAAAGACCTCCACTTATGGTGTTAATTCCCATTCATTATACAGCCCATGTTCAAATATTCGGCTTCTAGTTGTAATTATCTAGTTACATAGATCCAAAATATACCTTCCATATAAGCAGGGATCAGTCATAGACCGATAAAAATAGCCACCAGTGATTGATGCTGAGCCTTCATTTATGTTTACATCAGAGTGATTGTAACCCATCACAGGGAAAATCAGACTTGTGAATTTCGCCGAAGTATTTCCGCCAGGCGTAGTTGGAGGAGTGTAAACAGAAGGGCCCTCGTATACTCGCCATCCATAATTTCCATACTTGGTAATCACATCCAC